AAGCCCCCGGCAGCCGGCTCCGACGCCGGCTTGCAGGAGCCCCTCACCCCTCGCCGCGGTGCCGTAAGGTGCCATGAAGGACACGGCATGCTTGGCAGCACTTCTCATTAAGCTAGTAATGGCTTCTTATGCAATTCAATACTTTCAGATTTTAATGGAAATAAGGATGGCCTTGGAAAGAAAAACAGTTCTGCTCTTTGGCTGACGAATCAGCCCTCCCTGTTAGCTGTGCTGGGGGAGGAGGGTAACGCGATTCAGGCACTCGAGCCAAAGCCAGAGGTATTTAGTTGTTTGGGCAGGAAAAGCTGCAGCTACATGCCTGCCAGGCGGCACCAGCCCCGCTGCCTGCCCCGTTCCGATCCCAAGCCCGTGAGATGTCCTAAAAAGATCCAGGGGCTCCAGCAGCCAGGGCCCGCGCAGCCTGGCTGTGACGGGAAAGGCGTCTGCTGCCTGCAATGGAAACGCCGAAGGGTTTTCCAGGCAGCGGAAACCTGCCCTTTCCCGTTCTCGCAGCTGCAGCTGGACCGCGTCGGCACGGGGCTGGCTCGGGCCCAGCCTGACCCTACCCAAAAGCACGAGAAACGGTGATTCCCACCGAGAGCCACAGCTTGCAGACACCCTCCCTGCCTCTGTCCATGGTGCCGAAAATAACTTATTTTGTTCGTTATCCATGGAAATTACCCATTTTTGAATGATTTGCTGCAACCAGTGATACCACCGTTCAGTAAACGCCTTCCCAATGCATCTGATGTTGGGAATAAACAGTCTGGGCACCTTTAATCAAAAGAGCCGAGTTTCTCCACTAGTCTAGCAGTGGCAGAGGGTCCCAGGGCTGGGAGCCCAGCGGCCTCGAGGGCTGCATGGGGCTGGGGGTCTCTGGACCTTGTGTGACCAGCGCTCACCTCTGGGGCCCTTGTGTCTCCCAGGATCCTTTGGCTGCCTCCGTTGTCACCCACAAGAGATCTCGCAGGTAGTTGGAAGGGGGGGGGGTTATTTCCTTGCTGTTTAGGACTTTTGGGATCCATTTTGCAGCACCAGACTGACCTTGTGCAGCTGCAGCCGAGGACATGCGTGCTTGGGAGCTTTACCCCAGGCTTGGGCAGCACCGCGGCACCCTGCTGCATCCTGGCATCTCTCCTCAGCGATGGGGAAACCCACCCGGGCAGGAACGCGTGGATGGCAGGCAGAGAGCGAGCAGCCGGGACGCCTGGTCCCATGCTCTGCCCCAGCCAGGCAAAAGGTGCCGGTGCAGAAATGGCACCGTGAGGGGAGGCAGCTCTGGGCCTCCTGTGCAGCCTGCAGCCCTGCATGATTCATCTCTCCTGCCCCCCCCGCCGGAAAAGACACCCAGAAAGCACCAGCTCCGTCTTCGTGGGCAGCGCACCAGCCTCCAACAGTTCATGCCCAAAGTGTTCCCAGGGTCTCAGGAGTTTTAGCAGCCTCTTCTATTTTTCAGGGTTTTTGATCAATAGCTATTTCCTTCCAAATGACTGTTTAATTTGCTGCTTGGCACTAAATGCTGCATTCAAAGAGAGCTGGGGTGCAGCTTCTCCTGCACACGGCTACTCTGCTTTCCCTCCTGTCTGGCAGGGACATCAGAAAAGACTGGATTCTCACTTGCTCCCTGCCTGTTCACCTGGACTTAATTTGCTAATGTTGTACTATTAAAGTCTGCTTGGCATTTTCATTCTGAGCTCTCATGTGTGGGGATGATTATTTATGAGTTATGAGTGATTTGCACTGTGCATGCATAATGCCGCCACATCCTCCCCCCTCCCCATCTATTGGCGCTCTCTGGGCATGTCAGGGTTTTTCGGAAACGGTGCCAGGTCTGTCCTGCCACCCCCTCCACCGCTCCACTCCACACAGCTCAAGGTGCGGTGAGACACGGGCTCTGCAGCCAAGGCAGGCTACGGCCAGCACAGCGAGCACCCGTCCTGGGTGGGCAACGGGAGAGATGTTTCAGGCCATGCACCTCTCCTCTCCCCGCATCGAGGTCTGAGCACAGCAGCCCAGGCCTGTCCCCCTGACCCTCCCGCTTTGTGTTGCTGCTCTCTGCTCAGCTCTGGCACCTGTCCACGGCGCATCCCCTCTGGCCCTGGAGCCACATGCCCAGTCTCCCCATCGCTGCTGCCAGCTCCCCCGGGAGCAGCACGGCCGGCTCAGCCCAGATCTGCCCACGGCCAACCGCAGCCCGTCCCTGCCGCTGCTCTGCACTGGGAGAGCGGACGGGAGCATCCAAGGCACTGGCGCGAGCCCTGGAAATGCAGCACACACCATCTCTGGAAAACCTGTGGAGATGCTGATGGAAAGAGCTTAATGGACTGCATTGTTAGCATAAAAACATGACCGTGGTATTTACCTGCGTGACACTTTTCAGTCCTTAATTCTGTTTCCCATGAACAGACCACCTCCCCAGCTCTCCTGCAGGATCATTTGCTTTCCAAATGCGACTGTTCCCTTCTGCTGGCTGCCTGGCTGCTTGCTCAGAGGGCAGTAATTGCTGCCAAGGGAAGCTTCCTAAAAATATAAAATGTTAAAATGGGGTGGAAAATGTTTGTTGAAGCAGCTCTGGGTCCCTCCTGGAGCTTTGTTCCTTCCGACCTGGGAGGAAAGCGAGCGTGTGCCTGGGAGGAGGCCCGTGCCACACCGGCACCGCTGTCGGAGTACAGGGACTGGCAGCATCCCCGCGGGGCCAACTGGCGTCCCGACCCCAGGGGGGGGGCTGGACGAGCCGGAGCGCGGCCGCAGACAGGGCTTCGGGAGGGGGCACAAGGGCATCCGGAGCCAAACAGAAGGCCAGTAATGTTACGCATCCCCTGAGGAGCCTGTTGCGGGTTTGGAGTGCATCCCAGGCAGCAAAAGCTTCAGCCATCTTCGCGTGTGGGCAGGTTTATTCGTACAGGGCCCTGCGATCCCAGATTGTGATCCAAGATTGTCAGCAGATGCACCCTGGTACTGAGTGAGGAGGGAACTGGGGAGACAGGGCCTAAGGCTCCAGAAATCTGGCCTGAAAACATTTGCACTTAGCAAATACTTATTTGCCAAGGGTGTCTCTTAAAATTCTCCGCTGCTCTCATTTAGCTCACCCCCTTCCTGGAGGGTGAACAGGGACTTTTCTTTATTCCTGCATCTGGGTTTGAAACAGAGACTTTCCTGTCTGGAGAGGAGAAAAAAGAGAATCACATTAGAAAAAAATAGCATCATGTAGCTGCAAATTGTACTGCTGCATTTAAACACTGCATCTTTGGCTCAGCTTCCAATTAAAGATAACTGAGTGGTGATCTGAGAAATATCTGTAATTATTTTTGTTTCACACAGAATACAGCAAGCAATATGGTAAAATATTAGCTAGAGACCATGATCTATCGGCTAGATGGACAGGCACCAGGGGAGCATAAACCAACTCTCCCTGTCTATGTCTGTTGACCAACCTCCTGAAAAATACAATATTGCTGTTGCTTTTTATGCAATCTCAAAGTGAATTTCCTTATTGCTGTTAAAATAAGCTTAGCGCAAAGTAGTTTACATAACAGAAAATTAAATAACGCTGCTGTGGCCATAAAGAAGTAGGATTAATTTAGTTGGAGCTCTGCTAATGAAAACCACAAATTCAGATCTTATGCAATCAGAATGTTGGGTTAGCTTTTTAATTAATCAATAAATCTTGCTACCTTTTTCCCTTTAAAAAAAAAAAAAAAGGTGTCTTGCCAACGCTGGGAAGTCGCAATGGGCGGCAGCCAGGTGAGGAGGAGGAGGAGGAGGAGGAGCCCGTCAGAGAAGTTAACCCACGGTCCTTCCCTCCCTGAGGCCTGCGCTCTGGCTGGCAAATTGCAATCCAAAGCTGAAATTTTTCAGCAGCCGCATGGATACCATTCCACTGCACCTTCATTACCTCACTCCCTTCGGCGCCGTGGGGCCCGCTCCGCCGTTGTCTCCTCCAGCCGTGGCTGCACCCGCTGAACGCTTCCCTGCTCCAACTGCTAAGAGCCTCCAAATGTTTACGCCACCATTTCAGCAGAGCAGGTGGGAGATCTGGCATTGTTAAGATATTGTTCCAGCAGAAAAAATACACCACGTTTTTGTTAAAAGCACTCCTGTTTTGACAGAAAGATGGAGTGAGCATTTTTCTGCATCTGAGCATCTGCACAGAACTGGGGTGAGCGCCAGAGCCAGCAGGTCGCTGCGGCAGTGCCCTGCCAGGGCGAGGGACGGCTGCTCCGCTGCTACGGAGCCGGGGCAGGAAGACGTCCCGCCGCAAGAGCCATTGCACCCAGGGCCCTCGGGTCCCGCGTCCATTTAGCTCACTGTAACTCTGCATTTGAGCCGGCAGCCCGTGCTGTGCTCCATTACCAACGGCTCGCAATTATGTTGAATTAGCCTCGTTTCTCTTCCTTGACAGCCAGCAAACATTTATTTTTCCAAACCTTCCCCTCATCCCCACGAGAATGCTCCATCTCCTCTGTTTTCAAGTCTATCTCTCAGTCCGATCCCCTTTAGATTTTAAAGCAGTTTGTATTTACTTTTCACTCCTGACTACAGCATTACTCCTTACATTTTATTCTTTAATTTGTTCACGTGGAAGAAGCTTGGTGTCCCCAGCTGTACAACAGGGACCGCAGCACCCTCTGCACGACGCTGAAGCACGCACGGGAGGGCCGCCGCTCGCCCCCTCTGCGCCCGCGGGGCGCTCCCAGCAGTGACCCTGCAGGCGTCTCTCGTTCACCGTGGAGGGGACATCTCCAGCCCCCTGCATCCCCGGGGCACTTGTCTTCACTGCTCATGCAGCCACTTCTGCCTGCTTCTCCTCTGGAGGGGCCAAGCCACCTCGCTGTCCTCCTGTGGCTGCAGGAGCCCTGCTGACACCAGCGCCCACCACGCAACTCCAGCGTTTCCAGCACGGAAAGTGGTTTCAGACCCCACAGTAATCCCCGGACATTTGGGACCAAATTCAGCCTCTGCCGCAGGAGACTGCTGGGGGGTGAACCCGCGCTTGCTCTGCCTCCTGCATGGCTGGGGCACGACTGCGTCCCAGGTGGTACGATGCGAACAGCACTCAGAAAGTCTGCAGAGAGGCCATGGACAAAAAAAGGGCAAGCAGGAGGGGGAAACGCAGCTCTCTGAACTGACCCCGACCCTCTCCCCGACGCAGGTCCCTTCCCCTTCATCGCTCCCCCAGGTCCTGCGCTCCCAGGCCACAGCTGCCCCAGTCCTAGCCCAACTCTGCTCCTCTCCCAGTGCCCCTGGGCAGCTCTGTGCTCCCACCTTCACCCCAGGCCAGGCTGTAAAGCCCGAGCTCCAGACAAAACAGGCACATTAGCACTGAGCCCAGCTGGCTGCAGCCACCAATGCTGCTGTCTGGGCCTAAGAGTCGAAGACGATGTGTGTCTCCGTCCAGAAGCACCCTCCAGATAAAATCAGGAGATGCTGTCAACAGAGCAGAGCCAGTGGAGCTGAATAATTCTCTGCATTCAGCAGCTCCAGCATCTGCCATGAATAATAAGGCTGAGTTTGGTGCAATGTTTTGCTTCATTCTGATGGCCCCCCTCTGCCTTGCATTTGCAATCGGTCATGTCATTATCCATTTCTCCCTGGCCCTGTGGCACTGCATTAACTGACAGCATGATTTCTTGTGCAAGCGGCATTCTTGGATTACAGAGTCATGAGAAGTTGTTCTGTTAATTGCATGTCTTCTATCCACAGGTAACTGGAATTAAATCTCCAGATGGAAGCAGCAAGCTAACTGCTCATTGATTATCCTGTCGGCAAACTCCAAGACGGTCCTGAAATACAAGGCGATAAAGAGAAGGGAATTGTTATCCATCTAAGAGAGAGCCACAGCTCTGAGGAAAAAGTAATCACTATTGATGCAAAACGCAGCTGTGCTGAGCACACAGCGGCGCTTGTGTGCGCCTGCTCCTTCCCACAAAATCACGAGAGCGGCCCTACCTTTTAAAATTTTTATTGCAGACAGAAGCCGATCTGCAAGCCTGCGTGTGAGAGCGAGCCTGCTGCAGGAGCTCCAGCCAGCACCCCTGGCCCGCGTGGGCACTGCGACCGGTCGGGGAAACCGGGCACCCAGGGTCCTGCCTCCTGAGCAGGGTGAGCGCTTGGCCTGCTTTAACTGCTTTAACTGCAGTTCAACTAGCAATAAAGCTGTTTGTTAGGTTTTTTCCTCCTCGGAGGCTTCAACTCCTTGTGCTATGCAGAACTGCCCCAATCCTGCAGCTTCCCAATCCGGGCATGAGGCCGTCATCTGTCGGCCACAACTAATTAAAAAAACAAAGCAAAACAAAAAGCAAGGTGCAGGAGGCAGAAAGCAAGCAAATTAAAACTCATAATTAAAGAAGGAAGCAAACACGTAAATAATTCTGCCCTCAGGAAGAGAAGAAGTCAGATGCGGCAAATGCTAATGATGAAGCGAGCGACAGGCTGCTGCAGTGGCAGCTGCGGGCGCCGGCAAGGAGGTCAGCATGGCCACAGACCGCGGCCTCACGCCGCCCAGAGCCACCGCCGCTCCTCCGGCGTCTGCCGCCAGCCTTGCAGGCACGTCGCAGAAGAGGGGCCGCGGCCGCACGGAGGAGCCAGCCCCTGCCAACGGAGCGCTGCTCCTTGCTGGCACGGTGCAAGGTTCCCGTTTTCTCTGCCCTCTAAGGCAGGTGCCCAAATTCCTCAAGCAGAGAAAAGCAGCAGAATCTAATCCAGGGCCTCGAGCCACCCTTCTGCCAAGCCTGTCAGGTTTGGGTGAAGTTCAGTGGGGAGAAAACACATTTTTGCTCTCCATTAGACCTCTGCTAAATTAAATTACCCTGGAACCCCTTCCTTTTAATGAATTATATTTTAAGCAAGCGAAGTAGAATAAATGATCAGGAAAGGAAACGCAGTACAAATGACCTGGAAATTATGAAGCCATTTTAAACTCCAGTGCTTTTTAGAAGTCTTGACGTATGGTGCTGCAAATGTCAGCCCTTTAACAGGGGAAAGAAAAAGGCAAAAAAAGAGAGAAAAAGGGAAAAAGAACAACCTGATCTTAAACATTGCCCTTTAATTTGTCTCTCTCTGCTTCCTCCTTTAAGGGATGTGCTACCAGGTGTGACATTAAAATTCTGAGAGTTCGTCATTTGTGACTCTTACCATTGGAGGATAAAATCCCTTTTTGCCTGGGGAGGGCTCCACGAGAGGTGCCATGCTTCAAGACCAGGAAGGTCCATGCCAGCTCTTTGCCCTGCATGCCTGGAGTGCACAAAACCAACCGCTGCATCAACACCAGGCTGCTCAGGTCTCACTGACCCTTGGGAGCACAGTCTTTACCCCCAAAATTCCCATTGCCAGCAAAGGGAACTCTGAAGTTAATTAATGTCACTGTCCATAGCCTGAATCTTGGTCCTCAGTCAGATTTCTTCAGCTTCTGCCTTGTTCTGCCTTTGCCCTCTCGCCTGTGACGCTCCACTCTCACCGCTGCACGCGGGCTCATAGAGACGGACAGGGATGAACTCCCTGGCGCCACAGTGGTGATGAAGCAGGCCAGAGATGCTTCTGCTCCGAAATCCCAGGACCCACAGGGTGCACCAGAGACGGGATGAGGGAAACAGGATTATATCCTCTTCAACCCCAGCCATCCTTCTCTCTTCTGGCCAGTCCCCACCTGAACTTGCACTGACCTCCTGGAGATCTTGTGGGACCAAATCAGAGCAGCAACCTGAAAAATTTAAATAACAAAGCAAACAGGATGTAGGAATGAAATGTGCCCATTCCTCTCTAAGCTTCTGGCAGGCACGCTGCCTGCGGTACCAAGGAGCAGATCAACTGGCCAAAGGCAAGAAAAGCTCATCTCACATGGAGCTCATGCTGCCTGAGTGCTCTGCGGAGAACCAGCTCAAGTTTTGCCATGAAAGAAATCACTGGGCAAAAGAGTCAACTCATCTCTAACAACAAATTACCTCCAGGTTCCCAGTAAAACCGCACAGACTGTACCAGCCTCGCTCAAGAGGAAGTGACAAAGCGTGAAGATATCAAGTCAATAAAGTTCAATTGTTTAGACAGAAAAAGATAATGCCCTTATGAGGGAGGGAGAGCAGCAAAAATATTGATTTCTGTACACAAAAGAGAGCGATCTTGCAGCTGGAGATGATTAAAACAATGAGCTGAATGCACGAGCTCCTTCTCAATCAGTGTAACATGGCTTCCAGACCTAAGCACCCCTGGGTGATGCAAACGGCTCTCGGCAGTGACAGCACCCCAGTGGCAGGGCTGTGAGCTGGGCAGGGGCAGGAGTAATGTCCCAGGGGTCAAGATTGCCACGTGGCAGCTCCTCCTCTAACTGGCAGCAGTCCGTTATCAGGGAAGAAAGTGTTAATTACCCCAGGGCTGGGAAGAGCCTTGCTTCGTGGGAGAGGGAGGAAACGAGGGCAGGAATTCATTAATACAGAATTGATGCGAGCACCGGAGCCATCAAACAGAGCAGGAGCCCTGGGGCTCAGGGATCACAGGGATCGATGTCAAAAGACAAAGGATTCGCATTCCATTGTTTGTTATTTTGACCACATCGGCCATGAGCTCAGCGGCTGACTGCGACCCCGGTGCGGTTGCACTGGGTGTTGCAGAGCCGCAGACCTGCGGTGCCCCTCTGCAAGGCGCCAGCTGGAGCCTCCGCTCCATGGGGTGCACGCCGTGGCACCGCACAGCCAAGGGCGAGACCTGGCACAATCCAGGCCACATCTGCATGCCGCACGGTACAGCAAGGCTGTGTACGAAGGCCATGAACTACTATGTATGTATGTATGCGCCGAAGTGCTGACCAGTGCAGCTGGGACTTGGAGCTGACTGGCACTGAGTGATCACGACGAGTGACGAGCACTTCCAGGGCTCTGTAAAACCAAACCTGTTCAGCCGGAAGTTTGCATTAATGCCATTGCAAATCTGTCTGCTCAGCTCAGCTCAGCCCTGACCCCCTCGGAACAGATATGGGTTTTGGTATTGCACCCGGAGTAAATGCAAAGTGCTGCAGAACGAGCAAGGCATGCGGGAATGCACTGGTGCCACTGTGCATGGAGCATTCTGCAGTTAAAGAGATGCTAAATAACAGCATCCCTGCCCCCCACCCCCCCCCCAAATCTAGCCACAATGTTTTCATTTTGAGACAAGTGAAACATTTGGAACCAACTACAGTACTTGGAAGAGGAAAGCAATTTCTTGTTGCTGAAATCCCTGAACAACTTAGGCTTTGGTTCAGCCTCCACCTGCTGACCTGAATATGTATTACTGGGTCCACTCCACAGCTGAGGTTAATGACCAGCAAGAAGTAGTGTCTGCAGTAGTATAGGAGGTCTCTGCCTTTTTAGCCAGAGATATCCAATTGTCCTTTTTTACTGGCCATAATGACGGCCTCTCCCGCACTCTTCTAGGCTGGAAGTTCAGGCTCTGATTTAATGACTTCCTGGACTCTGAGCAGGAGTCTCCAGGGACGTTCACATTCTTGCAGAAGATAAACAGCAGATGAATTCAGACATTCTGGAAATGAAGCTGACAGCTTCATGGCATCACTGAGACCCTGGACCCAGACCTATGTCCTCCATGCTGCTGGCCCTGGGATGGCAGGAAGGACAACACAGGGGCCTCAGGAGAACGTGCAAGAGAAAAATCTGCTTCGGACACAGGACCCCACAGCTGAGCTCTGCAGCCAAAGGCAGTGCCACGATGACTCGGATAAAGAGTTATCACTTATGGGTTTGCCTTTCTTTACTAAACGTGGTTGCAATTAAAATGTAAACTCAGTGTTGGCACTTGCTGACAAATCAGGGCATTCAACAATTTAGAGTCAGGTCTGAACAAATTATGAAGTTGGCTTAAAACTTCCTGAGATATAAAAGGTAATAATAAAAAAAAAAAAGACTTGTCTTTTTTAAAGCAGTTAGTTAGTTAGAGATCATGTTCTTCAGCCTTCCTCTGCCCCTAGGAGCCAGACACAGAAGAAAAGAGATTCTGTGATAGCACAACTCAGGCAATGGCACTTAAAACAACCACCATGAAACTTCTAATTAAGCAACAAGCATGCATAACAAAAGCACCTGGCATCTCAACAGATTATATCATAACTGTCTACTCTGGAAACTGTCTCACATCATCTTCTGGCATGGTATTAGGCTGAGCTGAAAATAGATCCAGAGAGCGAAGTGGACAGGATGGGCCAGAGCCACACCGACTAGCTTGGGTGAGATAAGCCTCAAGCAGCGTATCTGGCTGCTTTCAGTGACCGTGGCACTGCATCAGATCTGTTCGGCGTCTGCGAGATACGCTAACACCAGCACTTGGCTCTGCTGGCCCCCAGCCTAGCATGGCCGCGGTTCAGAGGTTTTACTCCTTCCTGCGCTGCGTGCCGTGCTCACACGGCTCGGCTCGGCTCAGCTCTGCCTGCTGTCCCTCGACACGGTTGCTCTCACCTTCTCCCTGCCTGCCCTGCTCTGGGCAGCCCTTGCTGTCACTTTGTCTGGGCTGTTTTCTCTGCGGCACCTCCGCAGCCTGGAGGTGGTGTCCGTCAGCTGCCACCCGGGTCTGACAGCTCAGGCGGAGGGTTAACAGACTCGTGTACCTTGCTTTCTCTCGCTAATATTAATTAATGTTATGGTGACGGCTTGTTGCACTACCCGGCCGAGCGCTGCTCAGATACAATAGGATGTAGTGCAAAGAACAGGAGAAAGGGAGTAACGTGGCCTGCAGCTGGGGGGTGGAGAGCTTGGTCTGGCCGGCGTCCTGCCCCAGGGCTGCGCTGCAACCAGTTCTGCTTGGCTCATCTCTGGCCTGGGGATGCGCTGATGCTGAGGGCCACAAAGCAGCTTCCTTTTGCGGAGGAACTGGAGGGACGCCACGTCTGCCGCAAGCTACAGCCAGTCATCCTGGAGCTGAGCTGTAATTTATGAGGTTATTTATTTATTTACACATGAGCTGCCAACAGGCAGAACTGGCTCATGCCAAAGCGTGACACATTGCTGTGATCCGCACCAGTGATTCGGAGCCGGGACAGCTGGCTGGGCGGAACGAGGAGGATGAGGAGCGAGCTCCCCGCAGTGTCACCATGTCCCGCAAATGACGCAACAGGACGGTAGCAAGCGGGTTTGGTGACCCGGGCTGCAGAAGGCAGAGGATTAAAAAAATAAGTAACTACCTCTGCACTAAGATCAACAAGCACAGAATTTATGACGTGACCCAGCCAAAGCGGGAGCAAAGGCAGGAGGCCAGGCCCGGGGAGAGCCGAGAAGGGCAGGCAGCGGGGAGGAGAGTGGCACGTCCTGGCAGCGGCCGGAGCAGCAGAACCCGTGTCTCGTCCCGGCCGGGGCAGCGCTCTGGCCCTGCGGCCACGCTCCCGCATGCAGTGCCTTGAGACCATCTGAGCCCTGCGCTGGGATGAGGAGACCCGCTCGACTCAAGACCATGGGTGAGTGTAGCTGGAAAAAGGGAACACTGCTGGCAACTTGTTTTTAAACTTGAAACCGGCTCCAGACAAGGTGGTGAGCTCAGGCCTTCAGAGGGATACTGGAAGACGCGCATGCTGTGACCAGCTTTTAAACTGAGCACCAGGTAGGACCTGCTCATGCATTGTTTCTTCCTAAAATATTTGCTCTCAGCATCTCATCACCTCGCAGAAGATTGCTGGCTTGGCTGCTTTATATATTAATGTATTTGAATAATTTCAAATCAGGCAAATTAAACTGGGGGATCAAATGGGACTGTTCCACTGTGTGCTGTGCTTATCCTTTACAGGCTTAGCAGGGGGGATGCACAGGCCAATTAACCAGCGCAGCGGGCGGCCCTGTGCTGCCACCTTTCCTTCTCCTGGCACTAGTCAGGCAGCTGCAGGGCTCAGGGGAGGGACGACAGCTGCTGTTGCAGGCTCCGGGCACAGGCGGCCCCCACCGAAAACCGGGGAGGTGCGGGGGGCAGAGCCCCTTTTCAGCAGGCAGCCCTTCTCCCCCCCCGCCGGGTGTTATTCCTCCGAGTACCACGCTCACATATGTTCTCCACGCACGAGCCCTCGTGTGCTGCTCTGGGGGCTGCTGCCGCAGGAGTTATGGCACCGAGCTGGTGGCTTCAGCCACTTGTTCTGCTTTTAGCCTGATTTCATTACAGGTGGGAAGCCATGCCTGAAGCTGAGCACTGGTTTCACCCTGGCTGAGATCGGCTTATCCAGCACCTGACAAATAAGAGAAATTTAAACTGATGAACGTCAACACACACGGTTACCAAGTTGCCAACTTGTATTATCCTAGCCTTCAACTCCTACAACCACGTGGTTTGGGGAGAATCCTGTCTTTCACCTTTTAAGAAAAAGACAGAACAACAGTAAGAGACTAATCTTCATGTTTATAGAGGAAAAGCTGAAAATCTGACTATTAAAATTTCCCAGACTGGAAGGTAAATGAAGAGAACCTAAAATTTGTCCCTTGGGATTTTTATGAGCTCGCCTCAATTTTGTTGTGTGCCAACTTACAGTACTTGTGGGTAGTGATAATGAATTTGTGAGTTCCCAGAGCCTCCCCCAAAACCAGCTTGTTTTACACAGGAGCCTGAAATACAGTTTGGGGAGGACATTGACACTCTGGACACCCTAACTTGAAAAATACTATGCACAGAAAGATGCTACGTGCAAGATGGAACCAGGTGATGGCTGGGAAGGAGCCAGTGAAGACTGGGGGACATGGAACATCTGGGTCTCTGAGCAGCTCCTTGCTGTGTTTCCTTTCGGTTGAGGCTCCACCATGGTTTTCGAAACCAGTTAAGAGGTATCCAAGTCTGCCCTTAATGGTAAGACACATCAGGTCAAACGCACTGACAGGAGGGAAGTTAACTGAAGCCAGTGTGCATTTACTGCTCCAGCACCTGGACGGGAGAGGCAGCTTAAGCAAAGGTGGCGAGCATGTTACTGCTCCAGAGGATCTGCCAGCGCGAAGCTGGACTGGAAACCTGCCGCAGGCAGAGCCCGCTGGTAACGAAGCGCGAGCAACACAAACGTGTGCTCATGTTAATACTACACCTTGGCTTTTCCCCCGATGGAGACCTAGACGAGCGCTGCTGACGATCTCACCACAGCATCCTGGGGGAGGAGGGAGGCTCCCCCCCGCCTCCTCCCTGCCACTGCATTTGTAAAATATATTGCTTGAAGCTAAATAGGTCATGCACGGCATGCCTATAAATTTCCAATTCAGAGAGTTATGCCCGTGTATGGAGCTAGCTCACCTCTGCTGAAATGACATTGTTAAATGAGTGTTTCTGTTCCTTGCAGCTGGGCCGGGGGACGGGAGTGATTTGATTCCACTGAAATGCTAATTTCACAGTGTGGCACCTACAGACTTTATAACACTTAACACTAATAACGCTGATGAAACCTGCACTGAAATTCCATGACATGGGAATCATGCCAATACCCTTGACTCTGAAGCACAAAAGCTCCTTTCCTCCTGTTTTTAATTCTTCAAATTATTTTCCCCTGTGGGTAACTGCACTGCGCTGAGCCTGGTGCCCTGGCAGGCTCGAGGGGATGTGCCAATATGTCCTGCTGCTGCCTGCTCCTAACCCCCAGCTGCAGCATCCCCCCCCGACCGTGAAGCCCCCTCTGAGGTGTCCCTTTGAGTGGCATTTCTGGCCATTCACCCAAAACCCGCGTGCAGCCCAGGCTCCATGCTCAGCTGGGAGAACTCCATTGTCACCAGTTTTCTACATGAAACTGTTTTTCCTTTTTTTATATACCAGAACTTGATGGTAAAAGACTCCTCACGATGAGGAATTTACCGCATCCCTTGGCAGTGTGTTCCAATGGCTAATTACCCTCCCAGCTAATTAATTGCACATTTTCTTTCTAGTCTGAATTTCCGAGTTTCAATTCCCACCAACTGGACCTTGCGCACTGACTTTACTAGATAAAAGAATACAGTAATTTTGATATAGTCACCTATCTGGGAGCTAACAACCTGGCATCAAATCATCTCTTAAATTCAGCCCTTTAGAGACAGAAGAAAAGATTCTGAAGATTTAAAAAACCACAAGATCAGTGAGTGCTCCCAAGGAGAGGCTAACGCTTCAATGAAACACCATGGGGTTTTCCCTTCGTGCTATTGATAAACAAGGAGGCACTCAAGAGCAGCTCTGAGCTTCGACGGGACCCATTTAATAGAAGAAACCTGCTGCGGCACAGACAAAGGGCCCGGAAGCCCCAGTCAGGTGTGGTGAGATGGGATGGGAGGGGAGGGGACAGGACGGGGATGGGATGGGATGGGAGAGGACAGGATGGGA